GTTGTTTTTTTTTTTTTTTTTTGGTTGTTGTTGTTTGTTTGGTATCAGGGATCTAACTTAGGACCTTGTGCTTGTGAGGCAGGCAGCGGAACCACTGAGCTAAATCCCCAGCCTTCCTAGCACTCCTCTTGCAGGCACCTAGCACCTATAGGTCTCTCCTTGCCCAGGTCTTGGATGCTTTTACCTCTATTAATGGAGCCAGTGACTCTGTAGCCAAAGGGGTCCTTGACTGTTTCCATAGGCTGGACCTCTGCTCCGTCCTGAATTCCAGGGGCCTCAACATTTCCACTTGGCTGACAGGCACCCGAAGCCCAACATGTCCCAAATGAAGATCCTGATCTCCACCCTCCCCAAAACAGGCTTCATCTGCCTCCCTCATCTCATCTAATGCAACTCCATCTTTAAATGGCTCAGGCCAAAAAATTTAACTCTTATTTTTTCTCTTACTCCTCAGGCCACTAACAAATCCACATTTTGACAATTTACTACCTCCCCAGGCCCTGCCTCTTTCCCCTGGTTACTCCAAGAGCCTTCTAGCTGGTCTCCTTGCTTCCTTCCCTATTATAATCTGTTCTCGACACTGCAGCCACAGTGAAGCTTTAGAAGTGAAAGGTAGAACTGGGTGTGGGGCACACACCTGTAGTCCCAGCCCTCTAGAGGCTGAGCCAGGAGGATTGCTACCCAGCCTGGGCTATATAGTGAGTTCAAGGCCAGCTTGAACTACATACTGTGACGCTGTCCCAAACAAGATAAAAGCAAAAGTGGGCCAGGGATTTAGCTCAGTGGTTCTGCCGCCTGCCTTGTACCCGAGTTTGATCCCTGGTACAAAAAAAAGTGTGGGGGGGAGGTCAGGTCATGGCTCTCCTTGGTCAAATCCCTTGAATGAGCTGGTTATGGTGGCACACACCTGTTAATCTCAGCACTCAGGAAGGATAAGACAAGAGGATCCCAAGTTCGAGCCCAGCCAGGGCATTTTAGTGACCCAGTGAGAATTTGTCTTAAAATAAAAAACAAAACAAGGGAGCTGGAGATGTAGCTCAGTGTGAGCCATCAGTATCACAAAATAAACCAAAAAACCTCCAAATGGTCCCCCATCTCTGGGAGGGCAAAGAATGGCAGGGAAGGCAGGGATGTATGCTTGTTGGGTTTGTTAACATATCCCAAGCATCTAGAACAGTGCCTGACTAGTGGTAGGTAGGCCTTCAACAAATATTGGCTGAATAAATGAATGAGTTTTACTTAAGAGACAGAATACTGCTGGCTACGTTAACCAACAACCAAAACAACTCTGATACTAACTTTGATCGAGTAAAGACTTTCCCCAGACCTGAAGTTATGTAATTAACTTTTTCAACCTAGCCCAGGACTTCACAATTCTCTCCCTGAATTCTGCTGGTGCTGACCCAGATTCATCCACTGAGGTCATTCAAAGTATTGATTCTGTTATACATTTGGCTTCTCCTCCCAGTTTTGAGTCATCTGTAAATTTGATTAAACCTCCCTCTGCCTTTATAAGTCATTGATAAAAACAATAAGCAAGCACACACACCACCCACCCTCCAGTGAAAGGAACCAGGCAGGACCCCTTGGATTTTTTTTTTTTTTTTTTTTTTTTTTTTTTTTTTTTTTTTATACCAGGGATCGAACTCGGGTCCTTCTGCTTGCAAGTCTGGCAGCGGAACCACTGAGCTAAATCCCTGGCCCATGGACCCCTTGGAGAATGAAAGGGAAAGTGCATGGTAAATATAGCATTTTTGTGCTAAAAAAAAAAAAGATAAAAGATAAAAGAGGTCAAGTCAAAAGCATGTAAGAGCCAGCTTGATGGCCACTTCAAATATGGAATGGCCAAATGAAAGAATGGATTCTAATGTACCAAATTAAAATACAATCCATTAGTCCACAGTGAAACTTAGAGAGGGAATTAGAAGGGGTTAAAAGGAAGCTTTTCTCTACAGAAAAATGCTGGCTAATAAATATAGAAGAAATGATAAGATTAGAAAAATCTAGATCCAAGCAAGGATTGTTGGTCAATGCGGAACCATGGGGTGGCAGATTGTTATGAAACTACATATTAAACATGGTTTTAAGGTGTGTCCTACTGATGACTTAGTAATCACCAAGGGGAGAATATGTCCTTAAGGGTGAGGTCTGCTGCCAACCAGCTTAACCAAGTGGTCACAAGTAGTGTCGCCAACAGTAGAACTATGTGACACAACTTATCTCCTGCTAGGAGACAAGAAGTATAGAACACCAATCCTCATGGCATCCTTGCCAAAAGTGTTTAACACCAGGTCTATTAATGAGGACACAAGCAGATCATCCAGGGAGAGGAGGATTCTACAAGACAGCCTGATCTCTTCAAAAAGGTAAATCTGGGGCGAGGGATTTAGCTCAGCAGTGCCGCCACCTGCCTCGTAAGCACAAGGACCCAAGTTCGATACCTGGTACCAAAAAAAAAAGAAGGTAAGTCTGGGCTGGGCGTGGAGCTTGGTGGTAGAGTAGTTGCTTAGTGTACATGAAGCCCTGGGTTCAATTCCCAGTAGCAGGGAAAAAAGAGAGGGAGAGACAGACAGACAATCTGGTGACAGGCAAAAGAGACTGGAATTGTTTAAGATTAGGACTAAAAAGACATAATAGTCAGACATAATATGTGAACCTTAATTAAATCTTGGGTGAAAAAAGCCATGGTGCAATTGGGAAGCTTTTAAAATGGACTGCAGGTTAGATAATAGTGGCTTTACTGTTTATTTTCTTGGGCACGAGAATGATATTTCTTAGATACGATACTCTTTAAGGCCCAGGGATGTAGCTCAGTGGTACCATGCCTCCCTGGCAAGCACAAGGTCTTGATTTTGATTCCCAGTATTGGGGCGGGGGAAGATAGAGTCTTTATTTTTTAGAGATGCTTGAAACTTTTATTTATTTATTGGAGACAAGGGTCTTACTATGTAGCCCAGGCTGGCCTCAAACAAAGTGATCCTCCTGTCTCAGCCTCCAGAGTGCTGGGATTACAGCAGTAAGCCATCATGCCTGCGTGAAGCTTTTAGAGGTAAAATGTCATGACATCTATGATTTACTTTCAACTGATCTGGCAAAAACCAATTATGTGTGTATGTATTAGAAAGTATGAGAACATGACTATGGTGTAACTTTAATTGGGCGATAGTGAAAAAGAGGTTGTTTTTATGCTGTTTTTTTTTTTTTTTTTTTTTTTTTTTTTTTTTTTAAAAAATTTTTGGTT